GAGAGAGAGAGAGAGAGAGAGAGAGAGGGAGAGAGAGAGAGAGAGAGAGAGAGAGAGAGACAGAAAAGAAAGGGCAAGAAAGAAAAAGGAAGGCAGTAAAAGAAAGAGGAAGAGAAAGAAAGAAAAATAGGGAGAGAGAATATGTGTGGTGTGTGTGTGAGAGAGAGAGAGAAGAAAAGAAAGAGGAAGAAAAAAAGAAATAGGAAGGAAGGAGAGAGTGTGGACGGGTGAGACAGAAAGAAAGAAAGAAAGAAAGAAAGAAAGAAAGAAAGAAAGAAAGAGGGAGAGAAAGACAGAAAGAGACAAAGAAATAGGAAGGGGACAAGAGAGAACTCTGTGCTATTATTTTTAATTGTTCCATTATTTATCATATATTAATATTTTACACTGTCCCTACACCTAGAGCGATTTTACTGCTTTTCTTTTGCCCAGGTATTTTTCAGGGTTTACAATACATGCATTCAATGTCTATAGTTCAGAGCATAAATACATGTGTGTTTAACAGAGTTGAAAGGGACTTTGGAGGTCTTCTAGTCCAACCCCCTGCTTAGGATGCCAAACTCTAAGTAGAGGTCTTGGGAAAGGTGTCAGAGTAACAGAATAATAGAAGGGATCTTGGGGGGGGAACCCTATACCAGAGGTCGCCAACCTTTCGGACCTCAGGGACCACCAAACTCATAATTTTAGAGACCACTAACTGATTCCATGGGTGTGGCCTAATTTGTGGGTGTGGTTTGGTGGTCATGTGACTGGCTGGGCATGGCTTGTATGTATATTATAAATATTTATATAAATATTGAAATTTTTATTTAAAAAAGAGCAAAATCAGGCAAAGCAGGCAGGCAGGCCAATCTATCACATAAAATTTGCTTGCAAGCAAACTTATAAAATTTGCTAGCAAGCAAAACTCACAAAATTAACTCACAGCACACCATGTATGTAAATATTGAATTTTTTATTTAAAAAAAAACAATTTTTACCCAAAATCAGGCAAATCAGGAGGCACATTGAGTTGCTCACAGAATCACAGATTCATTCAGAGATCTATCGATCTGCCATCGGCTAGCTCAGTCTCTCACATAAAATTTGCTTGCAAGCAAACTCACAAAATTAACTCACAGCACACCATGTATGTAAATATTGAATTTTTTTATTAAAAAAGAGCAACTTTTAACCAAAATCAGGCAAAGCAGATTGAGTTGCTCACAGAATCATTCAGTGATCTATCTGCCATTGACTACCTCAGTCTGTCACATTAAATTTGCTTGCCATGAGTCTGCACTGAATTTGCTTGCAAGCAAACCTTCAGTCCTAAGGGAGGTTCGGCTGTGCTGAGCCAAAGATCTAAAGACTAGCTAGAAAGCAAGAAATCCAACCATTTCCTCTTCCTAGCTAATCTAAATCTCCTGGCACAGCAGAACAGCTGATGGTCGGAAAAAGGAAAAATAGCAATTTAGCAGGCAAATTTGCCGGGTAAGGAGTGAGTGGGCAGGGAGGGTTCCCGAGGGCCATGTGGGCAGCACAGCCTTGTGTTTCTGCACAGCCTGGATTAATTTCTTTGGGTGGGGGTGCTCTGGGAGTGAGATTTCTCTGCGGCCCACCAAAATTTTCTCGTGGCCCTATACCATTTCAGAGAAGTGGCTACCCAGTCTTTTCTTAAAAACCTCCAGTGTTGGAGCACCCAGAACTTCTGGTGGCAAGCAGTTCCACTGGTTAATTGTTCTCACTATCAGGAAGTTTCTCCTTAGTCTTGTTTTGCTTCTCTCTTTGTTCAGTTTCCATCCATTGCTTCTTATTGTGGTGCTTTAGAAAATACGTTGCCCCCCACTTTTCTGGCAGCCCCTTAAAAGCCTGTTTCCTATCATACTCTTGAACAAAGCATGTGAGCCATTTCCTCCTTTCAGTGGTCCATGAAAGTACATCTGTAGTATGTAGCTAATAAAGTCAAAAATGTGAACAACATTTTTACAGAACTATAGATAAGCTGGGTGTGACAAGGAATGGCTGGGAGGGGAGGGGCCAGGCGACGCACCCCTTGACATGAGTGACATTAAGTTGGTCACACCCACACAGTCACACAACCACCAAGCCACGCCCAGCCAGTCATATGACCAGCAAGCCACACCCAGCCAGCAAACCACACCCAGCCAGTCACATGCCCAGCAAGACACACCCACAAATTAGGCCACACCCCCAGAACCAGTTGTTAAAAAATTTGAATCCCACCCCTGCTGACATGAAAGGGTGACAGATTTTTTGAACAATCTAAAATATGTTTTTTGGATGATTTAGACTACAAATGTTCCAGCGAGGAAGGCTGTTCCTCTTCCTGATGAACAGGTGCTCAGGTTTAATACAACTGCTGTTCAGAAGGTCCTGCTAAAAGTCAACATTCAAAAAGCTGTGGGTCCTGATAACATCCCTGGGCGAGTACTTAAGAGTGTGCTGATCAGCTGGCCACTGTTCTCACAGACATCTTCAATCTCTTGTTGCATCAGGTGGTAGTTCCATCATGTTTTAAAACTGCAAACATTGCATCAGTGCCAAAAACTCTGTAATCACATGCCTTAATGATTACCATCCAATTGCACTCACTTCCATTATGAAGCTTTTTGAGAGATTGGTAAAGGATTATGGTTTCATCCCTTCCCCCTACATTTGACTCATTACAGTTTGCCTATCAGAACCGCTTTACAGATTTTCCTGTGTGCTTCATCTTAGCTTGGTGCATCTGGAAGAGAATACTCATGCAAATGCTATGTGTTGATTTTAGTTTGGCATTCAACACAATCATTCTTCAGTATTTGGTGAACAAAGTGGGCCTATTAGGTTTTAATAATGTAACTGGATACTTGATTTCCTTTTTGATAAGCCCCAGTTTGTGTGAGTTGGAAGAAAAGTTTCCAATTCTATCTCCTTGAGTACATGATCCCCACAGGGCTGTGTCTTGAATCCACTACAGTTCAAGACCCACAACCACTATGCCAAATCTGCTACGAATCATATTGGATGACATGGCAGTGGTAGGTCTTATCCGGGACAACAATGAACATGCTTATAGGAAAGAGACGAAGACTCTAGTACAGGGGTGGGCAAACTTTTTGGCTCGGGGGCCGCATTGATTTTTAAAATTTGAGACGGGCCGGGTCAGCACAAGATTTTTTGGGAATCGCCCCCCCCACCCTCCCCCCCTTCTCCTCCTTCCCCTCCCCTCGGAGGCCCCCTGAGTCAGGAGTTGCTACCGCCGGCGCGGCTCCGCGTGGCTCCAGTCCCGCATTGCCTCGGGAAGGGAAAGGCAAAAAGGAAGAGCCGCGGCGGTGCTTTGCAATGGGAGCAGCTGCACCGGAGGCTCAGGCTCAGCGGCTCCTGGTTTTGCCTTTTCCTTCCCAAGGCAACGCGGGACTGGAGCCGCGCGGAGCTGTGCCGGTGGTAGCAACTCCTGACAGCCCCAGCCGGACATCTGAGCGGAGCCCGGGCGGAACTGCCTGTTGCTGCTGCCGGAGCACCGCCAGGTCGCCTCTCCGCCGTGCGGCTCGGGGCCAGGTGCGAGTGCCCGCGAGTTAAAAGGAAGCCGAAAGTTGCTGGGAAGTTGCTCGGGTGCTGGGAGCAGGCTTTTAAAGTGCCACCCGAGCAAAGTTTAAGCAATCCTTTGTGCACGTGCACTTGGCACAGGCTCGAGAACCTCCTCATCACTGTTGCCAGCCCCCACAATCTCTGAAGACAGCAGTCCACTCCCTAATGGTCCTGGCCCCTCATCAGAGTCATCACTCTCCTCAGCCATCTACACCTGCTGCTGGCTAACCATAACAGGTACAATAAAATAACCTGATTCTAAGGAGATCATTGTAGATATTAGAAAGAGCCACCATAGCCATATTCCATTCAATATCAAGGATGCATCTACAGAGGTGGTCAACAGTATTAAGTATCAGGGGTACAGATAACTAACAGTCTGAACTGGTCTCTCCGCACGTTATCCTTAGTGAAGTGTGCAAACCAGTCTCTACATTTCCTGCATCGGATGAGGAGTGTGCATCTTTCTCCTTATGTCCTGGTCACTTTTTACAGAGGCACAATTGACAAACTGCATCACTGTTTGCTTTGTGGTAGCATTGCTTCAGATAGGTCGATACAGAGAGTGGTAAGCACATCCGAGATTACAGGAAGCTTGTTTCCCATTACTGCTTATAAGCGCTATGTGCTTAGAACTCAAAGCATTGTTAGAGACCCCATACACCCACTTTACAGACTGTTTCTGTTTCTCCCCTCTGGGAGGAGGTTTTAAGGTATTTCTAGCATGACTACCAGATTCTGTAACAGCTTTGTTACCTATGCCATCTGTGTGGTAAACTCGCAAGATTCATTCTTCTCACTGTGTACATGTATATCCAAACTAGACTGTGTTGTTTCTCTATGTTATATATGTGGGTACATGAATTTTCATTTTAATGTATGCTGATTAGTGTACCTTTAAAATGACAATAAAGTTATTCTAAACCTAATTCTACTGTTATTAGAGATTAAGATCCATTTTCAGATAGCATCTCTTAACACTGGTATAATTAAGGGATATACTATTAAAAAAACAAGGCATAAGATGTATGATATCCAATCCAAACCTAGTAATCTGTCAACCACATTTTACTGCATTATTTTTAGATAAATCAATTCAACTGTATAAGTAGTCATCGATTTACAACAGTTCATTTAGTGACTGAAGTTAGAACTGCTTTGAAAAAAATGGCTTATGACTGTTTTTCATACTTACAATAATTGCAGCATCTTTATGGTCATGTGATCAAAAAACAGACACTTGGCAATTGACTCTTATTTATGACAGTTGCAATGTCCTGGGATTATGTCATTACCTTTGTAACTTTCTGACAAACAAAATCAATGGGGAAGCCAGATTCATTTAACAACCATTTTACTAACTTAACAACTGCAGTAATTCACTTAACAACTATAGCAAGAAAGGTTCTAAAATGGGGTAAAATTCACTTAACAATTGTTTTGCTTAGCAACATAAATTTTTGGCTCAATTACCATCTGTAATGATTATTTGTTTTTCTATATTATGAATATTTTCAAATTTTGAAATATTGAAAAAAAAAAACCACAAATGCAAATCTTTATTAACAATAAATTCTTCTGAAGAAGTAGTTCTCAATGTTTATACTATAGTCTTCTACCACAAAACCTGAATTTTTACCATTGCTGATTTTCAAGTATGCAGAATTAGATGTATAGTATTATTTTGCTTCAATGCCTGAAAAGAGGTACAGTATAATTTTATATATAACAAAATTGGCATAGAAAAATAAACGTATTGTAGTTACTGAAGACAGACAGACAGATGGGGACAGAGATGCTGATAAATTACAATGAAGCCCAAATATATTATTGATGATGTTGGGTCTTTGTTGGCATAGGACTTTTGCCTTTCTGATCCTTCGCCTTCCCTTGTTTCAACTGTAATGAAAATAATAATAAAATCACTTGAAACATAAGCTCTCCTTGTTTTCTTCAAACTATAGAAAACAACTTTCATCTAGTCCCATTATTGCTACATTTTCTTATCCTACAGCATTAGAAATTTTCTTTACAGGATGCTTCTACATCCAAGTGCCCATATGAATTGACACAAACCCACAAATTGAAATGAAGGCAGTCTCAGTGTCGGCAAAGCCGAGCGCGTTAGGACCACAGTAGCGCTGGCCGGGCTACAATTTCCAACCTGATAGAAGCTCATTGACTGGAGAATCTAAACATTTCTGCCTAAAGATGAGAGCCAATTTTTTTGCCACATTCCTTTAAGGCCAGACTGAGTTGTGAACTGGGAGAGTGGCAGTTGACAGAGGGATGTGGTAAAATAAATGAAGGACTCAGTCTTTGGGCAGAAAGGCATGTATCCAGGGGTGGAATTTTACCGGTTCTGTCCACCTCTGTAGAACCGGTAGTTCTGAAGAAAAGCAGGCATAGAACTGGTTCTATGTCTGCTACTATTTTGCCCCACCAACCCGCCCGGGCTCTTACCTGACCTTTATTTCCTGCTTTTTCAACCGCAGCTGCTTTGCGCAACACAGCTGAAAAAGCAGGAAAAAGGGGCTTTTCCAACTGCTGTGCACTTGCATGCAGCGCTGCTTAGCTGTCCGGGCAGCTCAGCAGGTCGTAAATTGTACTCGCATGACTTGCGCATGCACGCATGACATAGGGAAACAGAACCAGTAGTTATACCAGTCGGATCCCATCACTGCATGTATCTACCCATGTGTGGATTCTCCAATCAACGTGCTGGAGAAAGGCAGATGTGCTTCCTCTAAAATCTTTATTGCTTTTGAATCAGCACATTTCCCATTACTACTATGGGAATCCATGATGGAAGCATTTTAAACAGCTGAAGAGTTTGATCAGTTGATTAAACATGAAAGTAAAAATATGTATTTCCAAAACTGTATTTTATCTTGTTTCTGCAAAATGGAAATACTAAAAAAGTAACTATGGCCTTCCTCCAATCTATCCTATTATATGTGTCATATTTCTATTCCTTATACCGTGTTTCTCCAACAATACGCCCCCCCAATAAGAAGTCCCAGCATGTTTTCTAGGCATAAAATGAAATTAAGCCCCTCCCCCAAATTTAGGCCTATTTTAAAACATGCAAAATGGGGGGAAAGGGGCGACCTGCTGTTAGAAACACCCTGCGGGCAGCCACGCCTTGCCAGCAGCCGCTCCTAATGGCCGATCATGGTGGAGCACAGAGGGCTCCCGACCCCCTGCCAAGAGCCTTTGCTGCAGACCCGGGTCAGTGGGTGGGCAGCGTCGGCATGGATGTCCGCCGGCAGCTTTTCAGCCACTTCTCGGGCCTCCGTAGCTTCCACGATTCCTGCTGCTGCTGGCACCTCTCTCACCAGCACCGTCTCCAACAACAGCATCTGAGGAGTACCCACTTTTCCCCTGTCTCCGCAACAACAGGGGAAAAAAAACATTTTGAGGTACCTGGGAGCACCACGTAGTGCGTTTTCGTTTAATCCTGAATGGCTGGTTGGGCGTGAGAAGAGCCGAGCGAGCGTCTCTGCCGCTGCTACCCTTGGTGCTCCAGCCTCGGGCTCTGCAAGTTTCCAAAAGTCCCAGTGCACAGCCCATTCCTGTATTCCAAGCGCACCCAGGCTGAGCTGCAGCTGTCCCTCTTTCTCCAGCGCCATCTCCAACAACAGTGGCAGCAGCAGCGGGAACCGTGGAAGCGTTTCAGCCGCTTCTCGGGCGGGGGAGCCACCTCTGTAACTTCCACGGTTCCCACCGCTGCTGCTGCTGCTGTTGGAGATGGCACTGGCAAGAGAGGGACAGCTGCAGCTCGGCCTGGGCGTGCTTGGAATGCAGGAATGGGCTGCGCATCAGGACTTTTGGAAACTTGCAGAGCCTGAGGCTGGAGCACCAAGGGTAGCAGCGGCAGAGACACTTGCTTGGCTCTTCTCATGCCCAACCAGCCACTCGGGATTAAACAAAAACGCACTGTACGGTGCTCACGGGTACCTCAAAATGTTTTTTTTCCCTGTTGTTGCAGGGACGGGGATGGGGGGGAAAGCGGGACTGACTCAGACGCTGTTGTTAGAGACAACTCTGGTGAGAGAGGTGCCAGCACCGGCGGGAACCGTGGAAGCTACGGAGGCCCGAGAAGAGGCTGAAACTGCCGGCGGACATCCACACCACCACCGCCTGCCTGCTGACCCAGGTCTGCAGCAAAGGTGCTTGGCCGGGGTAGGGAGCCCTTCGCATTCCGCCATGATTGGCCGTTAGGAGTGGCTGGTGATGAGGCGTGGCTGCCCACAGGGCGCTCTAGGCGAGGGTGCGTGGGGGGGAGAAATTAATTCACCCCTGAAAAGACAACCTAGCCATTTTTTCGGGGCTCAAAAACAAAAATTAGACCCAGCCTTATTATATGAGAAACACGGTAGTTGTTAGGAATGATAGTCACCTAACAGCTGGGTTGGCAATGTATAAACCAGGATAGTTATTTAATACTGTTGTATCTTTAAGAGAGTGCTGTAATTATGATTGGCTGAGGTTCCTCAGACGGCCATAAGATGGAGCCAGAAACCTGGTTTGTTCTCTTCTTGCATTTCTGTATTGCCTTTTGCCTGATTGTCGTTCTGCTTGGATTGCTGTGAGCCTTGCAAACTGTTAGCAAACTCCGTTTACAGAAGGTAAAACCTACATTTTACTATTCAGTGTATCTGTATGCTGGTTGTGTGTTATTCTTCACCACTCTCACTACGTTTCCCTGAGTGCACTCATTCTCCTAACGAGGAATACCTCAACAGTAGTTACTTATTATTGTTGTGCAATGCTTTGGATTTGATAAAGAAGTGCTTTGGAATGCATAGCAGAATGAATCAGTATTCCAGCAATTCAATAAAGCAACTTTGCTGTTTCCAGGACTGTAGGATTATAGGCAAAGTCTCTGTACAGCAGACACATAATTCTGGAAACATAGGGTATATCACTGATTTAATAAGTCATAAGCAGATATTATAATGTACTAAAAATCCCAGAGCACCTTTTCAAAACAAGATAAAAAGCACTGCACAGCTTCATAACGGTTTCGAATTTTTCTAATTATAGATAAGCAGAAATAGAAAACATAAGAAGTTTATCAACTTCAGTTTATCAACTTCAGATATAATAAAAAATAATTACAGCAACAGAAATAAATGAGGAGTCTTCCGGTTTGTCGGCTTCGCGAGCGGCAGGGATTTGCGAAGCTGCGCGATCCCTGCCGCGCTAGCCGTTTTTGGGGCTCCGACCCAGCCGGGTACGGAGCTAGGCTGCCCTGCAGGGGCAGCTGAAGTAGGGGAGATCCGGAGAAGGGTTTGGGGGTGCTGCAGACTCTCTCCCTGGCCGGCAGAACTCCCTTTTCCCAGGACGGTGCAGCGGCGGTCCGTAATGGCCGCCACAAAGAAGCTGGCAGCCGGGTAAGAATGCGCAGGAGGAAGTGGAGAAAGTGATTGAGAGGAGAAAGTTTTTCTTGGCTCCTAGGACTCTAAGACATATTTAATAAAATTCCTGAAAAGTATGATTCTCTGAATAATACCTGCCAGAAGAGGAAAAAAGCGGCTGCTTGAAGGTGCTGAAAGGATAGCTTTCCCTCTTTTCCTACGGAATAAATAACTGGATATTAAGAAACCTATTTTTTTAGGTGGAAATTGGTTTTAAGCGATGAGTGGGAAGAGAGAGGATTAAGAAGAAAATATTTGTATGCTAAGATTTGTTGGAGCAGATGCCTTAAGGATTTGAAGACTAGAATATATTGTAATAAGATTTTAAACAGATTTGGACTTTCTTTCTCTTTGATTGATATTACCCCAGAAGGAGAAAGTGAGAACTCTGCCTTGGTTTGGACTGATTGATAACTTTGGGACTGTTTTATCTTTTTTATTTTCTTTTGAATATTCTGGTTGTTGTAAGAAGAAAGAAGGAGAAAAGAAAAGAAAAGATTTATAATGGCTCTTTCTGTTGAGGAACTAAGAAAAGAATATGAACAAGCAAAAAAAAATGGTAAAGATGGTGTGGAAGAAGCTTTCCTTTTCTTAGAAATGGCGCTTACTAATTATCAACAAAAATTACAACAGATGAAGACAGCAGAGGAACAAGAAAGAAAGGAAGGAGCCATCTTTAATGAACCTCAGAATTTGATCCAGAAAAAAGGAAGAGAGAAAGAAAAGAAGAGAAGAGAAAAGAAGAAAACTAAAGGATTTAAGGACTTAAGATCCAAAAAAACATTTAAGAAAGGGAAAAATAAAGTGCAAAACCAATATGATGATTGTAAACAAAGGGGAAAAGAAATACGACAGAGAAGGGAAGCCGGTAAGGCAGAGGCTAGAAGAAGGGGGGGTAGAAAGGTTTGTTGGGAAAAGAAAGAAAGGGAAAAGGTGGAGAAAAGCTACAATGTTTTGAAATTAAATGGAAAAAAGGAATTTTTTATGGATAATGGATAAAGTATATTTTTTTTTAAAAAAAAAAAAGATTTTGCAAGGTACATAAGATGAGATGGTAGTATTGCAATGGTTTAAGAGTTGATAAGAGATTAAAATGTTAAAATGTTTAAAAATGATTGGCTTTAAAACTTAATAATAGGAGAGGTTTAGAATATTGTTTTAATTAAAGAGTTTAATAAAATTATGGTATTGATGTTATTATAAAATTTTTATTATAGTATTTCTTTTTAATATTTGGATTTATTGTTTAATTAGACACTTAATTGTGTTGGATGTATTAGTTAGATAGAATGTACCAAGCAAAATCTGATTGGGTATTAGATATTATTTTAAAGATTAATTTGATTAACTTAGGGGGGAGATAGAAAGGCATCATACTCTGATTAATGATTTCAGGAGAAACTGATTTTCTTTTTTTTCATAAGGGATGAGACAAAGGGATGATAAAAAATGGACAAAAGATACAAATATAATGATTTAAACTAAGATGATTAATTAAGGTAGAATTAAGAAGTGTGAAATATGTGGAGAAGTTAATATAGAAGGGTTAGAATGGTAAATAAAATAAGTAATGATATGTAAGATGAGCATGAATATAATTGAAGTCCATGAAGAGAGAAATACCTGGGTCCAAGTTACTTTCCAAAAAGATTTTTTTTTATGTTTTGTGTGTTGTGTGTATATGTCTTTTTTGGGGGGAGAATTGGTAAAAACTTGTAGAAATATAGAATGAGAATAATGGTAACTAAGTCAGAAAGAATCAGATGAAATAATAATAATGATATTGAATAAGAGTAAAGAGAAGTAAAGAGAAATTGAATAAGAGGTTTTGGTATATTATATGGAAATGGTTTAAAACAGAATCATAATTTATCTGACTTGTTAAATTTACAATGGAAAAAGGTTTAAACATGTAATGAATAATGATAATTTGTGTGTTTTAAAAAATTAATAAAACTTGTTTTCAAAAAAAAAAAGAAATAAATGGAAAAAATCACTGGTGTTCGATATAAATTACACAAAAATTGTTCTTTGTTTTTGCATATCACGACAGTCCTGATATTTCCATCTAACTATATTTGATTTTCAAATATCACTACAGTTCCCCAACATACTATTTAAAATCGTCAACACATTATTATGCCATTTGAAAAGAAATATTTTTAAGTAGAAAGAAATGCTTCTGGTTTAAATAATGTGTACTGTGGACTTACCCGTGCCTGATACTGTCTTTCAAAATAAGCCATATCATCTTCTTCAGATCTCCTTAAACTGGAAACTTGCATTGTTGTACTTGTACTTCCTTAAAGACAATATTTTTATTAAATTTTAAAATGCATTTAAAATCTGTTTAATCAACTATAAAAAATGTAAAAATCATTACCATCTGTTAATTGGGAATAGGCCTGCATAGAACTGGATGGACCTTGGAATGCTTTTAAAAATGGATTATCCATGTTGGTTACAGGAGCTTCTAAAAATTGAGTAGAAGGTGCTCCTGAGCAATAAACAAACATTAACAAATTAAAATTAAAGTACTACAGTCAATAAATAAAATCTAGGTTAAATATTTGTTCAATTAAGACCACCAAAGATATTGAACAGCATTTCTATTAGATGATGGTGCAGTATAAAATGAACAAATTGAGCGTGGATAAAATAGCATAATCAAGATGAATCAAGATTCACCAAAACAGTTAATTCTATTTTCTGTAAATCATATTGCATGTATCAACCTAAACATTCAGTCATTGGTTAAATTGTCAACAAGAAAATCCTGAAAACAACCACTGTTAGTAAGGTTAATAGCAAACTGCTGTGGTTCGTTTCCTTTTGTTTGTTTGCCCTGTCCCAAATTATCAGTATAAACCTCCAGCTTAAGATAATATCCCACATATCAAATGAAGTGGAGTCCAATTCACAGCACGTTTGAACATAAATAAAATTTATTATTTTATAAATATTTATTTTATACTTATTTAGAGTCACCTGGCAGAGAAATGAATGGCAAAAATTCAATAAAAAATAAATAAATTTATAAAATATAACAAGTAATATGATGTAACACATTTCTTCATCTTTAAGTGCAAAATGCACATTTTGTTGCAAAATGAGCACTACTACTTATTTGGGAATAACTATGAAATGGATTTTAATAAGACCGATGATTAAGCTGTTATTAAAGTAAAAAAACAATCAAATATATTGACAGAAACAACAATTAAAATGTATCCTAAGATAGCTTTCTTACATCTCTGTAAAATGAGAAGGATGAGGGAAATGAATACCTATTGTTGCTTATTTTCCATTCTGTGTCTGCTATGTTCTCAACCAAAGTCCATTAAATTATGTTTTTATTGTTTTATAACTCAAAATTTAACTTAAAAGACTTTTAATTATATTTAATTTAAAAATAAACATATGATAATATTATCTTTAGGACAGCTATTTAAGATAAATCTGTAAATGTAAATCTGATTGTTCCTCTGTTTTATGTTTTTTTTAGATATGTATACATTTTCGGAGAAAAAAAGATATGACTGATCTATAAGATATACCATGATCTAATACATATTGATTTTACAGAAGACAATGTTGAAAAAGCACTACGCAATCTAAAACCATCTCTATCTATTGGGCCGGATGGAATATGTGCCTACTTCTTTAAAAAGCTATCCACTGGCATAGCCGAACCTCTAAGCATAATCTTTGAAAAATCTTTCAGAACCAGCTCCTTGCCAAAACTATGGTCACAAGCCATGGTCATCCCCATCTTCAAAAAGGGAGACCCCAGCCTAGTTGAAAATTACAGACCAATCTCTTTATGCTGCATCATCTGTAAAGTCATGGAATCAATTATTAACCAATCCATCATCCTCCACTTAAGAGACAAACAACCTACTCTCTAATAAACAATTTGGTTTCAGGAAAAAACTATCATGTAATCTATAACTCTTACACTGCAAAAACATTTGGACTACACAACTCGATCAGGGCAAAGCAATAGACGCAATCTACATAGACTTCTATAAAGCCTTTGAATCAGTGGTACAAGACAAACTACTCCTAAAACTAAAATCTTACAGTATCTCTGGACACCTACATAACTGGATAGAAGTATTCCTGTCAAACAGACAACAAATGGTCAAAATTGGGAGCGTCCTATCAAATTATGTATCTGTCGACAGTGGTGTCCCCCAAGGCAGTGTTCTAGGACCAACTCTTTTCATACTCTACATAAATGACCTCTGTGATCATATCAAGAGCAATTGTGTTCTCTTTGCTGATGATGTAAAGCTATTCAACACCACAGGCAATACTGCTATCCTTCAAAAAGACCTTGACTATGTATCAGAATGGTCAATCAAATGGCAACTTCAAATCTCAACAAATAAATTACATATTGGCAAAAAAAATCAGAAAATAAAATACAGGCTGAATAGTCAAGACCTTGTTGATGATCCAAGCTCTGTAAAGGACCTTGGAGTACTCATCTCTGATGATCGAAGTGCTAGAGCCCACTGTAACTTCATAGCCAAAAAGAGTTGTTAACCTAATCCTACGTAGCTTTTTTTCTGGCAATATCACACTACTAACTAGAGCATACAAAACATTTGCTAGACCAATACTCGAATACAGCTCATCAGTCTGGAACCAGCATTACGTATCTGATATTAGCACAGTTGAGAAAGTCCAGAAATATTTCACAAGAGGACTTCTCCACTCCTCTACTTGGTAGAATACCTTATGCCACCAGACTTGAAATTCTAGACCTAGAAAACCTAGAACTATGCCGTCTTCAGTCTGATCTAAGTATGGTATATAAAATCATACATTGCAATGTCCTCCCTGTCAATGAATACTTCAGCTTCAACCATAACAACACAAGAGCACACAATAGATACAAACTCAAGGTTAACCGCACCAAACTTGATTGCAGGAAATACGACTTCAGCAACAGAGTGGTCAATGTCTGGAATAGTCTACCTGACTCTGTGGTTTCTTCCCCAAACCCCCAAAACTTTAACCTTAGACTGTCTACTATTGACCTCATCCCCTTCCTAAGAGGTCTGTAGGGGGCGGGCATAAGCACACCAACGTGCCTACCGTCCCTGTCCTATTGTTTCTTTTATTTTATTTTTTATTTTTCTTATATGTATCCATGTATTCATAACTATGCTTTTACTTATACCTATTATCTTGTAAGCAATTGACAAAAAAAAATAAAAAATAAAAATAAAATCTTTATAGGAATATAGAACACCACAGAGGTATTCCAGTAAAGGCCTGTTGCTAACTGTAAATGACACTCCTTAATTTACAACAGATAAAAAAACCAGCCTAATCAGCGATGAAGTTCTGTTATGAAAGACTATTTATATTAAACATAGGCTGTAAAAGATTTGAAAGTCAAGCACCTCTATGTTGAAATTAAGCTTAGACAAGCATTAAAAGTCAGAACGGTTATTCAAAATCAATGTTCATAGATTTATAAAGCTGAAGGAGGCAACAATCTAAAACCAACCTCATGTTGGAATACAGTATTATAACTTCATATTCATCAGGAAGAAGAATTGTAAACCTATTAGAATTGCAAGTGATCTTCAAGGTAATTCCGTATAAATCAAAATATGGCAATACTCACTTATTAAAAAAAAGTTCAAGCATGTGTACTTAACAAAAAGAAAATAACAGTTTAGTAAAATAATTGGATAGCTTAATTGTGTGTCTAACAACATTAGTGCTGTTTCAAGTAAGTCTTGATAGTACTGAAATAGATTTCATAATCAGACATAATTACTTGAAACAGCACTAATATTGTTAGACACGCAATTAAGCTATCACAATTGTTTTATTAAACTATTATTTCCTTTTTAAGTTATGTTATTTGTTCAATGCATATCCCATATCTCCACTCCACCCCAGTTTCTTCCAGGACTTCTAAATTAAATATATAGCATGCTCAATGCTTGTCTTCCCCCAAACTCCCTAGGATAAGTTGGCTGAGAAATACCAAGGCAATCATGTATAATTTTTTAAAAATAATTTCATCCTTACCCACTCCACTATCATCAAGTCTCATGTAGCCTTCTGCTAAGGAACTAAAACCTGTTAGTCCCCCCATTGCAGCATAAGGGACATCGTGCCCAACTGGCTTTCCTTGGGCTAAGCGTTCCTCTTTTGTTTCCACTATAGTTTCATGAGAATATGCTGGGTGGCCACATCCACAAGTAAAGCAACTGTGAAACCCTGCACATTTGGAACCTAATGCAAAACAGTTAGAAAATGTCAGAATTTGTTTGAAAGGTTTCCACTCAATGTCAATTTTGCTTGCTTTAGCCTTGGTGATATAAACAATTGCCACAACTGAAACCTTTTAATATTCATATGTGCATTATTTAAATAGGACAGACATGAGGAAAAGAATAGTAAGTTCAAGATAATTATTTCTACATCTGGAATCATAAACACTATTCTTTGCTTAGATAATACACTGCTCAAAAAAATAAAGGGAACACTTAAACAACACAATGTAACTCCAAGTCAATCACACTTCTGTGAAATCAAACTGTCCACTTAGGTAGCAACACTGATTGACAATCAATTTCACATGCTGTTGTGCAAATGGAATAGACAACAGGTAGAAAGCATAGGCAGTTAGCAAGACATCCCCAATAAAGGAGTGGTTCTGCAGGTGGTGACCACAGACCACTTCTCAGTTCCTATGCTTTCTGGCTGATGGTTTGGTCACTTTTGAATGCTGGAGGTGCTTTCACTCTAGTGGTAGCATGAGACGGAGTCTAGTGGTAGCCACACAAGTGGCTCAGGTAGTGCAGCTCATCCAGGATGGCACATCAATGCGAGCTGTGGCAAGGTTTGCTATGTCTGTCAGCGTAGTGTCCAGAGCATGGAGGCGCTACCAGGAGATAGGCCAGTACATCAGGAGACGCGGAGGAGGCCGTAGGAGGGCAACAACCCAGCATCAGGACCGCTACCTCCGCCTTTGTGCAAGGAGGGACAGGAGGAGCACTGCCAGAGCCCTGCAAAATGACCTCCAGCTGCCACAAATGTGCATGTGGCTGCTCAAATGGTCAGAAACAGACTCCATGAGGGTGGTATGAGGGCCCGATGTCCACAGGCGGGGGTTGTGCTTACAGCCCAACACCGTGAAGGACGTTTGGCATTTGCCAGAGAACACCAAGATTGGCAAATTCGCCACTGGCACCCTGTGCTCTTCACAGATGAAAGCAGGTTCACACTGAGCACATGTGACAGACATGACAGGGTCTGGAGACGCCGTGGAGAACGTTCTACTGCCTGCAACATCCTCCAGCATGACCGGTTTGGCAGTGGGCCAGTAATGGTGTGGGGTGGAATTTCTTTAGGGGGCCGCACAGCCCTCCATGTGCTCGCTAGAAGTAGCCTGACTGCCATTAGGTACCAAGATGAGATCTTCAGACCATATGCTGGTGCGGTTGGCCCTGGGTTCTTCCTAATGCAAGACAGTGCTAGACTTCATGTGGCTGGAATGTGTCAGCAGTTCCTGCAAGATGAAGGCATTGGTGCTATGGACTGGCCCGCCTGTTCCCCAGACATGAATCCAATTGAGCACACCTGGGACATCATGTCTCGCTCCATCCACCAACGCCACGTTGCACCACAGACTGTCCAGGAGTTGGGGGATGCTTTAGTCCAGGTGTGGGAGGAGATCCCTCAGGAGACCATCTGCCACCTTATCAGGAGATGCCCAGGTGTTGTAGGGAGGTCATACAGGCACGTGGAGGCCACACACACTACTGAGCCTCATTTTGATTTGTTTTAAGGACATTACATCAAAGTTGGATCAGCCTGTAGTGTTTTTTTCTACTTCAATTTTGAGTGTAACTCCAAATCCAGACCTCCATGGGTTGCTAAATTTGATTTCCATTGATAATTTTTGTGTGGTTTTGTTGTCAGCACATTCAACTATGTAATGAACAAAGTATTTAATAAGAATATTTCATTCATTCAGATCTAGGATGTCTTATTTTTGTGTTCCCTTTATTTTTTTGAGCAGTGTAATTTGCAGGTGAGCTAATTTTGCAAGGAGTTGTCTGAGAATAGGAACAGTCATTGTGTGTTGAGGATCTCCTATTTGGAAGCAGCACATATTTGAATATTGTGTATCATTATGCAAATTAGCCAGATTTAAAGTACTTATTTATTTAGCATATTTGCTTGCTTCAATCAAAATTTACACTTGGCAGCTCACATAAAAATTCAATATAAAACAATTTTATATTAAAATAAAAATTTTATTTAAATATAAGACATCTAAACAAAGATAGAGGATGGTGACAATTCAAATCAGAGAAAGACTTTCCAGAAAACTCAGTCTTTATAATCTTATAGAAACCAACAAAGAAAAGCCAGTCAAATCTAGGGAGACTATTCTACAATATGGGGACTGCAACAGAAAAACACCTCCTTACTCCAACTCCCTGAACTCCTAATAGTATGGAATTTGCAGCAGCTTCTCCTGAATAGATTTAATCAGGCAGGCCAAAGCTGGCTGAATAAATATTTATGGAGAATCTTGAATTAGTTTCCTGATTGCAGAATTTGAAATATATTAGTTATTTCCAAAGCAATAGATATACATTATTATGATGCTGAGACAGTATTTAAAAAAGGTATCTGTGGATAGTAGTTACTCTTACATATGAATTACTCATTTAATCAAAGTCAAAGTACACTTACACATATTGCATAGAAATCCAGTTGCTGGATTATGCTGATCTGCAAAATGCTTACATCTACAGCGGATGGGCTGAGTACCATTAAGAGGAACAAAATTATAAGATTTGCATGGACACCGACTCACTCTACAAGGAATAGAAATAGGACGTTCTTTTGGAATCACTTCAAAATCTGTTTTGTGTTGTTTATACCTAGGAAAAATTTAAAAAATGAAGATGCACTGTTATTATTCCCTTATTAGAATATTTAAGGATCCTTTTATTCAAAGACATTCAATTATTTTATAAAAGGGGCAAGGCCAATACTTCAAAATCTCAACTTTAATCCCAGATTAAAATATGCACCAATCTTTTAACTCAGAGGCCCCAGCTTTGTGGACTGTTAGGGGAGGGAAAAGGGGATGCTTCCACATGAGCAGTTGGCATGGGCACCCGCTGTTCGTGCAAGTGGAGCTGTGCACTCGTGCTCTTTTCCATTGCTTTTGCAGTCAAGTTCCAGTATTGGGCCACGGCCTAGGGATTGGGGGGCCCTATTTTAATTGATTCCTAAGATTGCTAAATTTTCTATTTGTGTTGGGCCGATAATTTCCAGAAATATTGAGGTTTCCAAAGTATGAATCTCTGAATGAATCCTTCTCAGCAGTAGCACTTGGAATGAACTTTGTCCTGAATTGAACATACATAATCCAAAATGAAAAGTCTAATTTTCTCAATACTACAACCTTATGTTCATTTATCAATAAATTACATAGAAAAAAAGGTCATGAGTTTTTCCTTGTTGAACAACTCAAAAGTGTGTGAGAATAAGGACTTCCGGTTGACATCACAGAGAGACTGGATACGAGGAGCGGGTCTCCGTGCTTCCGTCTCGATTTCTCCCCTTTGGTGGGTTCTGAAAGGAGCCAAAGCCGATCTGTAGGGTGGCGAAGCAAAGAGGGGCACCCTGTGAGACTGCAGAGAGTTGCAACTCCTGCTGGACTCCTGTTTTTTTCCCCCTCTCAGATACTGTGAGGAGAAGAGGCAGCCCAAAGATGGCTGCCACGAAGCTGTAACAGCTGAGGAATATCTAAGACTGATGCTGGAGCTGAGTTAGAGGATTCTTTTTTATTTAAAACCTAACCCCAAAAGGAAAAACTCCAGGAAAAGAGGCGCTCATAACTATTTGCTAAAGCAGCCACTAAGCACTCAGAAAAACTGCAGAATTGAAAGAAAATAATTAAGAGAAGAAAAAAAACTTTTTAAAATACAGAAAATTGGACTTTTAACCTGAGCAGGTATTGTTCTGGAAAGGCATTTTAAAAGTACTGGAACTATGTACCTAAAAAACTAACTTTGTTTCTATATTTTGATTTATTATTTGACTAAAACTGTTTAACGTTGAAATCTAAACTAAGAGTACCATCTGCTGATGAAAGGAAAGTATAACATATTCTTAAATCCTGGAAAAATCTGATAAGGATTTGTTTTATGCACCTACAATGTGACTACTGGAGATTCAAATAGGAGAATAAGGAAGATATTTTCATTAAAGAGAGCCTGAATGCTATGATACAAGACTGAACATATAAAGGGAATTTAAAGAAATTATGGGAAGCTCTTGGGATTATCTAAAGGGACAGATTGATTAACTATGGAATACAAAAAATTGTAAATATTGAATTTATTTTGGTGACTTTAGGCTTGAATATATGGTTTTTGGATTATTGGACAAGAGCGGGACTTATTAAAACAAGATAAGATGCTCCATCAGAAGGTATTGAATGGAACTTGGGAAGAAATATTGTCGATGTTTCAAAGCATCAAGGACATTCTGATAAGAAACCACAAGGAGATTAAGAATTTAATGCATGGCATGGATGAAAAATTGGGAAATATTATACAAAGGACAATGAGTGATCAAGACGCCCAGGAAAAGGAGGAACCAATTGAAGGAGCAGATGAAAAAGCAGAACAGATTAACCAGCAAACAAAACAAGATGACAAAAAAGAGACAATAACAAAAAGAACAATAACTGATGAAATAAATCAAAGAGAAAACATTTTAAAAGATTTAAAATGGGAACCAGAGACACAGGAAGATATTTTTGAAAGAGAGATAGGGGCATGGCTAGATATTTTAGAAGCTAGACAATGGAAAAGGGTAGAGATGGGAGAAATGTTTAAAATGGATAGTCAGGACGTAGATGCAGATAGGTATAAAGATCCAAGAGAGGAATATGGGAGGCAAGTTAAAAAATGAACAATTAAAGCTTTAAAGTGGACAAGAGATGACAGATAGGAAGGATTTGTTTTTAAATATAATGGTGGCATGATTAAAAGTTAGAGTAAGGATAGAAATAAGAGGGGGAATATTAGTAAACAGTAAGACAAAAGTAATAAGAGGGAAAATTAGAAATTGAATGATATTATGTATGTTTAAACAATATTGCGATTGGCATTGGAATAACGTATTGAAACATTGACTAATTAATTAATGAAAATCTATAATTTAATACAAATATGTGTACCAATACTAGAACTACATAAGCTTGAGGAATGTAACAAATATGATTAATAGCACTATTTTTATTTGTACTAAAATGTATGATACCCTGTGCCACACTGTTCATGCATTGATATGGATAGATTGTAAAATAAAATAAAAAACTTGAAACAAAAAAAGTGTGTGAGAATATGTATGTTTACACACATACACGTACCAGTACATACAGTGCTTAATATGTTTAATTATATATTATAAGTGAAGAATGAACAGATCTACACATTTTGAAGACAAAATGTTTTTAACATAATAAAAGGAATATGAGAAGTTAAAGCTTTACTTTTTCTTGGCTTATATTTGTGAAACCAATCAATAGCAGAGAAATAATATTCTGTGCACAAAAGAGTTGTTATTGAGTCTGATAGTACAGACCAGAAGAGTACAGCTATTGAGCCATTACCATTGAAGATAAAGCAAAGCACAGTAATAATTCTTTTTTACTTCTCACACAACGAAAACCATACTGGAAACAAAGAAAGGAATACAAATTGGCATTATAAATGTACTATCCCAAGAAAAAGATAGTTCAAAAGTATAACCATAATTTTAAGGCAATATCTGCCTCTATTTTATGCATTTTTGCATTTTCAACAAATGCAAAACCACTCTTAAAAAAGACACAGATAAAAATCATTTGTGGGAATATTAGTCTTCCTTTTGAACAAATATTATAAATATACAATATATATGACTATTAAAGACAATATTCTATAATCAAAGGTTTTTTTTAAAAAATCTAAGATAAATTTTAGTGCATCTGGCACAAATAAAGAATGCCTCACCTGTGAGAACAAAAGCAAGGTGTTTCTGGACCCATGAGTTTACAGTCAATGCCGGTTGGTGATCTCCAGCTCACATATAATCTATTTTGCAACCGAATTGGTAATACTTGTTTCTTATATTGTTCATATTCTTCTGGGGTAAACAGTTTCCCACCATCATCTTCTCCTACAATTCTGCAAAAGTGTTGATTTCTGAAATACTTTACATTACATATTTAATTAAAACTGTAATCAACAACCCTTTTAATAATATGCGCACAGACCACAAGAAGAACTTGTCATATCATGAGTGAATGAGAGACAAAATAAGATAATCTACCGTGTTTCTCAGAAAATAAGGCTGGGCCTTATTTTTTGTTGACCCCCGAAAAAATGGCTAAGCCATCTTTTCGAGGGTGCCTTAATTTTTCCCCCACGCACCTTGCATGTTCTGTAAACTGTAAACAGTGAGTGATCCCTGGACAAGGATATTCATATACAATTCTAACTCGTGGTTTATGAAATTAATTCAGACAACTATATGAATACAATATGCTGAATCATAAACCATATTGGCTGGATTCTCATAACACACTGGGCCACAAATTAGCCAACTATATTTTAGCTTGGCATGTTCTGTAAACTCAGACAAAGTCTAGAACAGTAGCACTAGAATAGTGCAATCATTCAATAACCATTGTGTTTGAATTGCCCTACAAAATTCAATGTCAATGTATATAACGGCAAAATAGAAAAAACAAATAAATAAAATTCAGTCAAACAGACAAAGATAAAAGCAGCAGCATGCACCTCATGTATAAAGACTAAAATATCTTAAAAATAAGTACAAGGATTATAACATAACCAATATCACCTTTCAAAATTCCCAATCTTAATATATAGGTCAGCGGTTGCTAACCGGTGGGCCGTGGCTAACCGGTGGGCCATGAGAAAATTTTGGTGGGCCTCAGAGAAATCTCACCTCCAGAGCACCCCCACAAAGCAATTAATCCAGGCTGCGCAGAAACACAAGGCTGCGCCACCCACATGGCCCACGGGAACCCTCACTCCTTACCCAGCAAACTTGTCTGCTAAGTTGCTATTTTTCCTTTTTCCGACCATCATCTGTTCTGCTGTGCCGGGAGATTTAGATTAACTAGGAAGCAGGAAATGGTTGGATTTCTTGCTTTCTAGCTAAGCATAGCCGAACCTCCCTTAGGACTGAAGGTTTGCTTGCAAGCAAATTCAATGCAGACTCACAGCAAGCAAATTTGAGAAACTGAGCTAGCCGATGGCAGATAGATCACTGAATGATTCTGTGAGCAACTCAATCTGCCTGCTTTGCCTGATTTTGGATAAAAGTTGTTTTTTAATTTTAAAAAAATCAATATTTACATGCATGGTGTGTTGTGAGTTAATTTTGTGAGTTTGCTTGCTAGCAAATTTTATGAGTTTGCTTGCAAGCAAATTTTATGTGACGGACTGAGCTAGCCAATGGCAGATAGATTTCTGAAGGAATCTGTGATTCTGTGAGCAACTCAATCTGCCTGCCTGCTTTGCCTGATTTTGGGTAAAATTTGCTCTTTTTTTTATAAAAAATGCAATATTTATAGAAATATTTATATCTACATACAAGCCATGCCCAGCCAGTCACATGACCAAGCCACACCCACAAATTAGGCCACGCCCACAGAACCACTTAGTGGTCCCTGGGATCTGAAATTATGAGTTTGGTGGTCCCTGAGGTCCAAAAGGTCCCTTGATATAGGTCACTTCAAAATACAGCTTCTATGGCTTTAGCATGGAGCATTTTTCATCAATCAATGAAAGCACATACTAAAAAGAAATCAGAGGATAATATTCTAAATGAATAATGTACAGCACAACACACTTTGAAATCATGTTTAAATATTCATGCATAATGTGAGAAGAGCTCCAGCATGGATCAGAATATTGGGAATACTGTAAATGCACCTTCCTCCAAAATTTCTCAGCTTTCTCAGCAATTTATAAATATGATTGCTATTAGGCAATATGTACTGTTTTGTTCAATAATGCAGAATAAACTGTATATTAGTTAACTGAAGTTTATTAGTCCTCATCAAAATGAACCCATATTTTAGATGTTCTGTAAAAATGACAATAATTTCCTTTTTTAATCATCAAGATGAATCACCAACTGTATGATAAATTATTAATCCAGAGTCAGACTGAACTCTGCAAACAGCCAAAAATGTTCTTTCTATCTATCTATCTATCTATCTATCTATCTATCTATCTATCTATCA